TTTTGGCACACTACACATTTCCTCACCATGCTAATTATCTTTATTAAACAGTTTAATGTTCAAATTATTCTTGAAAATCTCAAAAAAAAAACAGAAAAGCACAATAAAACATAAGCTCTCACTTGACGCAGCCAAACTTAAAGGTTATGAACCAGAATGTTCAATATTCACATACAATATACGTATAAAAGACGATAAATAAAAATTTTAAGTGATTTTATTGGATAAAAAACTCATATTGATGCTCTCAATTCTTTATTTTTCTTTTTTTTAATCGATTATATTAAAGTAAATAGTAATTTTTTAATTAACATTTAATGGAGAATATATGATGAAAGATCTGACAACATAGAAAGAGCGTGTCGTTAGGATGGTTTTGCGGACAAATTTAATGCAAACAATGCATATCTGTTTCATCCGATATCTTTGGTTTTACCTCTATAGTGAAACTGAAGATCAGAGGATGTCTATACCTTCTACTTCAAACTGTCAACCGTTACTTTCTTTTATATATTGTTCATCTATTATGTGGTATTATAAAATGTTATATTATTATATTCTCTGAATTAAAAAATAGATGTGATATTTTCATTGGCCCCCCTCCCTTTAATTTAAATTGAGATTTAGACTGATCCTCCATTTTAAACTCACGTAATTAATGCTTATATCTTAGCTCAGAGTAAAAAAATAAGATCTCAATCTCACGACCTCTATTCTTTCTTCAAGATAAGGTAGTCAAGGAATAGGTCGTGCATAATTTGCTTGCAATTTTATACCTAGGTATATATCTTTATTTACAACCATATATGTAATGATGTCATTACTAACGTCATTGAAGGTTGGGAAGTGTCACATTACACACCTCTACTTCCCGCCCTCACTTCCCGCCCTCATTTCATCTATTCTAGATGAATATTTTTTAAATTTAAAAATATCAGTTTTTTTCTTCAATTTCTAGCATCGTTCGTATCATACTGCCCATAAAGTAGACGGCTTCTTTTGTCTGGTATGTTCTTCAAAATATGCCAGGAGTACACTTTCGGAACCGATATTTTTGACCTTTTTTTCTTCGCACCACTTCCTAAATAATTCAATGGCTTTTAGGTACCGATGCTTACTTTTCTCTGGCAAAACGTTTTTTTTTTTCAATTTATTATTCGCGAATTTAATATCCGACTTAATCTGACAATTATTCACTTTATCTGACATTTATTTATATTGATGACAATTGTTTACCCCGTAGTCACGGTACCAATATATTTACTTGATTATTCTGAGAAAACCGTGTGCTTGGTAATTTGTCGTTAAATGTAATATTTTAAGTATGTTCAGAACGAAACAGAGATTTATTAATTTTGATCTAAATATGATGGTTTTAAATAAAGTAGTATACAAACTTTGGTAGGAAGTTTCAGTCGTGGCTCGGGATCATAGCTAACCTCGACGCTTCGCGTCTCGGTGATCTAACTAATCTCACGACATGAATGAAACTCTTCCCACCTCTGTGTGTAATATACTATTATTTACAACCATATATTATGTAATATTGTCATTACTAACGTCATTGAAGGTTGGGAAGTGTCACATTACACACCTCTACTTCCCGCCCTCACTTCCCGCCCTCATTTCATCTATTCTAGATGAATATTTTTTATATTTAAAAAAATAACACATTTTTTTGACAAATTTTATAATACCTATTTAATGGCAAACAATAAAAAACAACAATAAACTAAAATACAACAAACTACTTATTGATATTTATTATTCGCGAATTTAATATCCGGCTTTGGGGTCTATTCTGTAACAATTCCTTTATATTTAACGGCCTTTAAAAATATTGGCGGCCATTAAAAGTATATTTGTATTCGTTAATTTACTTATGTCATTATTTAAACAGATTTCTTTAAGATAGTCCTCTAATGTATTTTAAAAATCCGTTTAAATAATGACAGAAGTAAAGAAGAAAATATTTTTAAAGGCCGTTAAATATAAAGGAATTGTTACAGAATAGACCCCTTTATCTGACATTTATTTATATTGGTGACAGTTATTTACCCCGTAATCACAGTAACAATATATTTACTTGATTATTCTGAGAAAACCGCGCGCTTGGTAATTTGTCGTTAAATGTAATATTTTAGGTATGTTCAGAACGAAACAGATTTATTAACTTTGATCGAAATATGATGGTTGTAAATAAAATAGTATACAAACCTCGACAGGAAGTTTCATTCCTGTCTCGAGATCATAGCTAACCTCGACGCTTCGCGTCTCGGTGATATAACTAATCTCACGACAGGAATGAAACTCTTTCCACCTCGGTGTGTAATATACTGTTAGATGTTTGTTTTTTCACTAAACCTAAAGCTTCGAGATTGATACCTTTATGTATAGTTTTCAAAGGTGGGGTTAGGCTTAACGAAAGTTGAAAAACTTTTTCATCTAAAGATTTGGTGAAAAATGGTTGCTAATTAAAGTTAATCAGCTCACACAAACAGTTATATTGATTAATCTATATGGTACCACAGCTGTAGAAAGCCAAGAAAACTTTACAAATTAGTTTTTTTGTAAAAAATATAACGAAGGTAAAAATTATTTCTATAAACATGGAAAAACCATCAATGAATATAATTGGAAAATCCAGTTAAAAAAACACCAACAAATTATTATTCCTTTTCACAGTGGCCTCTTAGTTTTAAACATTTTAGATATGCTTACAGATAATCTCTCAGACAGCACCGAGATAAATCTAGATTTCAAGAAATATTCATAGGTATTTAAAAATGTTATTAAAATATTCAGCTTGCGTCTTGGAATTTTGTACAATTTGTAAAAAATTTGAGGATCCTAAAAATATTATTATTTGGGTGAAATGCGATATTTGTCAAAGATGGATCCACGAGCAATGCAATAGCATAAAACACAATATATATCAGTGCCCATAGAGTCATCAAATGTGTTTTATGTTTGTCCAATATGCTCTATAAATTTTTGACGTACTACACATTTAACAAAACCGACCGAAAGTTCAACTGAAATGTTTGGAAAGATAATAATTATTATAGGTATTCTGAAAGTCTCTCCAATTATGTAGTTGCAATCATAGCCCTCAGAAAGTCTAGATACCGCTTGGCGTATGCTGTCAATACAAAATAATTACCCCATTCAAGCTGGCCGCCAGATTACAAAGTCAAGAGGGGGAAGAAAGAGTAAGAGTTAATTCTTTGGAACGAAGTCCTACTTTATATGACCAAAATTTTTAAATAAGCGCTCTACAGTTAAAATGGTAAATACAGGGAATTATGAACATCCCAGAGAATTCATAGACTTACAAAAAATTGAAAATCAAAAGGAAAGTTCAAATCTAATTAATATTAAGGCAGAAATTTGTGATAAACCAATTAAAATTATGGTAGACTTAGGTTCAGAGATATCATTAATTAACGACAATATAGTTAGAGAAAATAAAGAATTTAATAAAAATATTATTATAATACCTAAAATTACAATAATAGGGGCTAACCATAAAAAACTTTATGAGGTAAATAAAATGTTAAGCACTCAAATAAAATTTCAAAACAAAATTATTGATGTGAATTTACTAATAATACCGGGTATAATAACTGAATTATTGATGGGTTGTGATATTTTAAATAAAAATAACTGTATTATAGACTGTAAAGAGAGAAAAATAATTATAGAAGGAATAGAGGTAAAATTTGATGATGAATCAAATATAAATGAAATGAAATCTTTGAATTTAAATGTATGTATGTACAAATGCCAATGAAAATATAAATGAAATTATTGAAGATAATGAAAATAAGCAAATTAATGAAATAACTAATATATTAAAGTGCAGCGAAAAATATTATGAAGCTGTTAAAAATGAATTAATGAATTATACGGGGTTAGTTAAAGAAGAAATGAGAATAGCTGAAAATGATGTGCATAAATTTGAAGTTAAAGATATAAATAATTTTAAACCTAAAATTTATCCTATTCCTTATAAGTATAAAGAACAAGTAAAAGAAGAAATTCAAAGTTCATTACAGAAAGGTATAATACAACACAGTAATTCATCTTTTATAAAGCCAGTAGTTATAGTTAAAAAAAATCGGGGGGAATTACGAATTTGTCTTGATGCCAGGAATATTAATAAATTTACAACTCCACAATATGAGTCTTCTATGAATATTGAAGCAATATTTGGCAGAATCACAGATTCTTCAATCTTCTCTAAAATCGATTAGAAACATTCTTTTTGGTTAATATCATTACATAAGGATTGCCGCAAATACACTGCATTCTGTATAGATGGGGTTATGAATTTGCAGTTGTCCCATTTGGATGGGTAAATTTATGTTTTGACTACACTGATTTTTAGTTTGTGTATGCTTACGTTCTGAAAAGTTGAAAAAAAAAATGACAAGAGGTATGCGTAGTTGATTTATATCTTCTACATGCTTCAATAAACTAAAGTCAGAAGAATGAAATTGTTTTCAAGAAAATTATATCTTATTGAATATTTCATTATTTTTGTACTATATTCTTTAATATATATCTAATCCATATTTCTAAATAAACTATGATGTATAAATAACTGGCTAAGTGTTTGAAGCATTGAACCACAAGATTGCTGATCAAAATGTTATTATAATATTTTTATAACTATTAATTAGCAAAACTGATGTTTAGATAGGTTTATTAAATGTAAAATTAAAATAAATATACATAGAGGGTTGCCGTTAAAGATGAAACCAAACTCCGTTCCTTAAACGTTCCGATGTAGAATTCGGAAAATTTCTGAAGATATGCTACATATAAATACGCATAAGTTGTTACTGAACCTTTTGTAACAAAATGTTGAACAGTACCGCCATATTTAATTTTTTATAATGACAGCAGGTCATATTTTACGTTATTTGGAAGAGCTTATTACATAAATGAATCGTATCGTAAATAAACAAATTTTATATTTTGTTAATTTGTTTCAGGTTTTGCTCTGCGATGTTGGAAATGTTCCAGCGATATAGATCCATCATGCCGAGATCCTTTCAATGAATACAATAACAGAAATTATAGGCAAAGTAGTGGAGCTTACGATAATTTACAACAAAATTACAATCAAAGACAATATGACAACTATAATACCAGGTAGGAAGATTTTCCAGATTAATTTTTTTAACTAGTCTATTCGCTCCGTGCGAAGTCATGGTAGGGGAAGCCAAAACGATACGAGGGCTAGCTGCGGATAATTCGTGCATTTTAGGGCGATATTTTGTAATTTTGGCATATCAAATACACGTATACATTTTACTTTTTTTCCAAAAAAGTAGGTAAAAACAATACAATAAGCAAAACCGGAGTTGCTGTGTTGAAAATTGTAAAAATACTAGCAAAAAAACAGTGTAAATTATAAAAATGTTCAGTAGCAAAGTGGAAATTGAATCAAAGAAATAAATGGATAGGTGTACAATAAGAAGAAAAATTACCTTTATTGTTGTAGTAATAACAGTAATACTGGAAATAGTAGACATCAGAAACTTGAGAGGTTTTAAATAAACAATAAATTATCATATTACGATGTTCTTCAACATCCCTTTAATCTTAAATGTTCAACAAGAACTGGATGACCAGGGTGATATGACCCATGATACATTTTGGCGCGGTGGCATGTGTAACCAAAACTGCGCAGGCAAGTGCAATAGGCCAACTCACCGGCATTTACAGGTTCGCCTGTCTGTGTGCCACTGGTGCCATGGGTACTACGCCAACAGCAGCAATGGAGGTACTATTACCTCACGCTACTGCACATCTTCATACAAAGAGGAACCCGGTCCGTTATTTACAGGCTAATGCAGGGTCAAAACCCAATAAGCCAACTACATAGCGCTGACCATACGAGGCTTTGTCATCAAGTAAAAAATGATAAGAATCTAGGACTTCCCACTGATCTAGCCATAACCACATACAAATTTAAATACCACCCCGAGAATCCTGAAAACAGGGACCTCCCATACAGGCTGAACACGTCTGGTATATAAATGGTTCAAAACCCAAGAAAGGATCTAGCTGAAATCTATGGACCCAAGTCGAAAATAAAGATTTCGCTGCTTCTCGGTGAATATACAACAGTATCCCGGGCTGTATTATTAGCCATACAACAGTATGCAAAAGAAATAATACATCAGCAAATCGAGCAAAACTATTGCCATCTTTAGAGTTGCTTGGCCAGAAATCAAATCACTACTGGTGGAAGACTGCCAGAGGTAAGTTTAAAACAAAAAGAGTCTCAGGAATGGTGAAACAACTATCCAAGACTGTGACAGGCCAAACACTTTATCAAGGAACCACCCGCCAAGTTCACGAAAGACCTACTGGATCAAACTCTTCTAATCATTCTAATAACAATAGGTCTTCTTACCGGACACTGTGGCCTTAGAAGGCATATGAGTGTCATCAATCCAGCAGAAGAAGAAGAAGAAGGCCTGGCTTATGTGAAGGCCTGTCTAGATTGAGGTTTCTTATATTAGGTGAAGAAAATACAAACGCATGGAATTACATTCAAAGCTACTAAGTCTAATAAAAATGATAAAGCTAGACGACATATTCTAAAAAACGGAGACCCAAAATAGATATGAAAAGGTCGCGATGGACAAGGACAAATAAAGTTTAACTCCTTTCAACTCTAATCTAATCTAATCTCCGATGTGTAAACTTTAATAAATCTATAATAGAGTTGGGATTCATTTCAAAGATTGTTATAAAAATATCGGTAAGCTGACATTGTTTACATGTTCGTTTATCGATTTCAGAAATGTTTTTCTAAAAAATATTAAGTAATATTCAATTTGTTAATGATTTGAGGAAACATAACTTCATTTTTTTAAATTTAACTAATTACAGTAACTATTCACAGGGAAATTCAAAAAACACAATTTTTTAATTATACGATAAGTGATCTTGATGTTGAACTAGTTTAGCATTTCGTAACCCACTTTTGGTTTTATTTCAATATTATTGTTTTAATGCAACATTCTGTAATGTATTATTTAAAATAAAAATTTCCACAAAACTTACATTTTAGGTTTTAGGAAGGAAAGTACTTCATAAATATACCACTGGAAACCCCATAAATGAACGTTTTTTTTTTTAATAATTATATATTAAGGACTCATGAAGATCATTAAGGGATCATTTATGTAAACTTGTTAAATTTTTTGAATTCTTATAGGTTTAGAGAAAGCGTTTTAAATAAATTTTTGGTTTACATGATCAAAATAAGGATATACTAAGCTTTGTGATTGATACATTAAATTCCTTATTTGAAATAACCTTTAGTGAAGCTGTTATTAAAGATGCCTATTTCATAGGACGCAAAGACGACAAAAAAGGCTTGTTAATTGAATTTATATCGTTCTTTCAAAAGCAGCGAATTTTTAAAAATATTCAGAAACTTTGTGGGAAAAACATTTCAGTGGTCAACGATCTATGTCCAGAAGATAGAGACAATAATAAAATACTCGTCAAACATTTACGAATTGCAAAAAGTCAACAGAAAGAAGCTAAAATTAAAGGGTTTAAATTGATAGTTGAAGGGAAAGAGTTTTCTGCTCATGACTTAGAAGATTATGGTTCAGATAGTTACTATAGTAGTGAAAACGAATCAGATGTAGAGGGAGAGGAAGAACCAGAAGAACTCGAGCAAACGAAAGAGCCTGATCAAAAAACTCAAGCTCATAAAAGAAAAAAAAGAGATACTACATCAAGTGGTGAAAATAATAAAGAAATGGTTAAGAAAATGAAAAGTGTTGGTTGCTCTCAACGAGTTCTTAGAAATTCTAAACTATATTAAAAGAACCTCGTATAAATGATTTTTAATTATTGTGTCGGCTATTGAAATTAAAGTACTTTTGTGAACTTGTACAGTTCTATTTATAATAAATTTCTTTGTTTAGGACTATACTTTATTGCACTATTTGTCTGCACTTGATATTTGTAAATAGTTATGCTGTTCTGCTTTTATTATTTTTTATTTGTTAATTCTTTGTCCCTAGTGGGTCAACTATCTGTATCTTCTTACAATTAGAATTTTTTTTAAGAATATTAATAGGTGTATTAGATAATAATGATCATAGGACATTTGCATGTTTGCTCGTTGGTATCGAGTATAGGTGATATAAGGCAACTATTTCGAACTATAACTTTGATATACTGGTTCTGACAGAATCCTGTCTTGGGTCCAATATTTCTTCCAACATTGTAGGTGTTGATGGATACTACCTGATAAGAGAGGATAGAGGTAGACGAGGTGGAGGAGTTGTATTTTATATTAAAAATTGTTTCCGTTCCAAAATCACACAAACAAACAATATTATTGAACAATTGTGGGTTAAAATTACTTTTGGTGGAATATCTTTCGCTGTAGGTGGAGTCTACAACCCTCCCAAAAATAATGTTAAGGGGTTTCTGGATAATTTAGAAGAAACATTATCAGAACTAGTTCCTTCTTATGAGTATTTATTTTTAATGGGCGATTTTAATATAGATTTATTGAAAACCGTATCTTCTAGTGTCTTACTTGTAAATAATATTACACAATTATTTAATTTAACACAAATAATTGATAGTCCTACCTGAGTCACTCCTACTACCTCAACTCTAATTGATTATATTATTATTCCAGACTTAGAAGACTTCTTAATTTCAAAAGACGTTGTCTCAGTCAAACATATTTCAGATCACGAGTGTGCGAATTAGATTTAAAACTTAAATGTAAAACCCCGACATTTAAAGAAATAAGAGATTACAAAAACTTAAATGTAAATGATTTTCATTACGATTTAGAGAACTTACCGTTAAATAATATATTAAATATAACAGATATAAATGAAAAACTTTTATATCTAAACAATTTCTTACTATACTTATTTGATAGATATGCACCGATTAAAAGAATTCGTATAACTAAAAAGTACGCTCCTTGGCTAACAGATAATTTAAAATTTTTAATGAATTTGAGAGACAAAGCTTATAAAGATTGGAAAAAAAAATAGGATTGCTTCTAAATTTGATTACTATAAACAACTCAGAAATTACACCACTCTGGCATATAAAACCGAAAAGAAAGCTTACATTCGTCACCAATTCAGACTAAATGGTATGAAGGCTGTTTGGAAAGATCTCAATAAACTCAATATGTTAAAGAATAAAACTAAGCAAATTCCACCCACTTTGAGCGATAATACTAACCTCAATAACTACTACCTTAATTCATTGCCTAATATAACCCCAGACATACAAAAAATGGAATATTACAAAAATCATATATTACCTGACAAAAACTTTCAAATTGAAAGTGTAACACATTCGGATGTAGCTAAAATCACCAGAAAAATTAAAACTAATGCGATGGGTATTGACCAGAAAAATTTAAGAATGATAGAACTTTGTTGTCCAAAGATAATTCCATATATTACAGATATTTTAAATACGTGTATTCAGAGCGGTGTTATTCCTGATATTTGGAAGCAAGCTTTAGTGCTGCCGATTCCAAAAAAGTCAAACCTAACAGAACTAAAAGATTAAGGCCAGTTAGTATTTTGCCAACTTTTTCAAAAATTCTAAAAAGAATAATAGAAAAACAGTTGAGGGAATTTTTAAATCAAAATGAAGTTTTACCTTACCAACAGTCAGGTTTTAGACCTCTACATAGTTGCGAAACAGCCCTGTTAGCTATTACGGATGATATTTTAAGAGCCACTGATGAAAATATGATAACCTTACTTATACTTTTGGATTACTCAAAAGCCTTTGATACATTGAATCATGAAATGTTAATAGCTATTTTACATTATGTTGGACTAGACGACCTTTCCTTAGAATTCTTCAAAAGCTATGTAACTAATCGTTCCCAATGTGTTCAAATACAGGAAAATGTATCTACGCCTCTTAAGTTACCATCTGGAATAGCACAAGGGTCTATATTGGGACCACTACTATATACCATATATACTTCTAATTTTAGAAAAGTTGTTACTAAAACCTCAGTATTCAGATTTACTACTCATTTAGACCCACTGATATTCAAAATGCTATTGAAACTGTAAATCATGATGTTTATAAAATTGTTGAGGAATCTAAAAGTCACTCTT